CCTTTTTCTCTGTCCAACACGCGGAGCCGAAGGCTGCGGATTCGAGTCCGAGTGAGAGTCAGGGCGCTTTCATCACGTCGTGTGGAGTGATGGCTTCTCACAACGCCTCGAATCCAGAACCCTTCAGTAATATTTTCCCTCGCCTTATGGCAAATATGTTAAATTAAATATTATTTACATTGAACTAAATTTCAAGTATATTACATAATATATAATAATATTATAATTTTTCGAAATTAAGTTTCTTTAAAAATAATTGTTGTGGGTGTCCTGAAAACCTCCACAGAAATATTAGATAATCGGAAAGAAAATGACTCTGTAAGATTAAAAAATTACAAAATTTTCTCAATGCTATATATTGTATCTAATCACTTGCCTTAAGTGATTCTTAATTTAATCGAAGTTCTTTAACGTTTTGAATAGCCTTTATCCACATTTTAATTTTCCTACCAGAATGTGCCCTAAAATTAGCTCCATAATTCAATATGTTAACCTCTAAAAGCAGGATATATTCGAACTGCCTTTTTAGAAATAATTCCATTCAGTTAGACAGAAATATACTTAGGTGGTGAGGTGGTAATTACACAAAAGGCAAAGAGTGGCCGTGCATCTGAGGTAGAAAAGAAAAATAAATTATTAGTAATATAAAGAGAAACATGATGGCGTATTTTTGACGCCCGAAATAACTCGCCCCGGATTTGTACAGCGAGTTAATATCAACATTTTCGACAATGGTTATTCGTATTTAAAAAGTCACATTCTGGACCCCGGTCCACTGGACACATAATTAGTCCAGGCACACCCGGGTCCGTTTCCAACCCTTTTTGGAGATTGGCCATTCACATTGCAGCTTGGGACCCCCTGTGCACGATACGCGCGTAATTCCAATTTAGGGGCCGACCACAAATTACGTAACGCAAATTAGATGTATTTTGAATACCCCCTCTTCCCCTGGAACGTACTTAAAAACGAGTTGAGCCTCCCTAAATAATTACGTACCCCCCTCCATTGACAAGATGTAGCTAGTGGTGCTACTACAGCACGTGCTTTCTCGTGTTATTGCTAATTGCTATGTAACATTACTATAAGACAATTTCTCTCGTACACTTCAATTACCATTTGAAGAATTCTTAAACAAACGAAGTATGAATTTCACGCTTCGTTAATAAATACATTTCGCAGATTAACATTGTTGATATAGCTGACAAGAAAATGAAAATGGATTCAAAAATATCATCATTAAATATAATGTTGTTATATTCATCAAAACTAGTGCGTAAAATGCTCATTACTCCTCATTCACACATATTATGATTCAAAACGAAATCGTCCTTACATTTAACTCAATTTAAGATTGCAATTTAAAATAATTTTAAATAAATTATAAAATATTAATTTGTAAACGTATAACACAAGCTCGAAAGGAAAAACAAACAAACAATTTTTTATGAAAAAAATGGTTTAAAGAAAATAAAAAGTGCCCATGTTTGACATAAAATTTTGGCAAAAAATACTCATGTTTTCGAAAAATTGAACTACACCTTATTTAAAAGCTAGTTTTTGATGAACACATTTCTTTTTTAAACAAATTGTATTTTCCAAATTGTAGTTTAAGGAAGACGCCGAACAATTTTTTTTTCGAAAAATTAGGCTTTTCAACCAACACGAGACATGTTCCATTTTCTTAAACGTCCTTCAATCTACCCAACAACAAAATTTTATTAAAAACGATGGAGCCGTTTTTGAGGAAAAAATTGTATAAACAAAATCAAAAATTGCCTATAATTTACTCAAAATGAAGCGAAAAAGACTCAAATTTTCGAAAAATTATATTTAATATCTATATTTAAGAAACAGATTTCATTAAGAGAAAAATCTCTATCTTTAATATTTCAGTAGTAGGAACGCCGAAAAAATTGAATTTTTGCAATTTTGAAAATATTAGAGATTAAACGAACATGAGACCTGCACCATTCTCTTAAAAGTACTTTACACATCCAATAACAAAATTTAATTAAAAACAAACGATCTCATTTTGTGAAAGTTTTGAAAATGACCGAAGATCTTCATGTAAAGTAGCCCCAGAATTAAAATATCTATTTCAAACTCATGGGGCCGCAACTTCCGCCAGATCGATCGGAGAGTATCAATTTCGGACAACATGAACGGGTTAGCCGCTAGCATTGTTCACAGACGCACAGACAGACGGACGGACTTTCCGGCTTCAAGAACCCACAAAACATGGATTCTTGTTAGACCATGTGTTAGAGGATTTTTCTCCTAAATTTAGTAATTGGATTTATACACATTTTGGTTACGTAAGCACTATAAGAAGTTTTTCTGCTGAAAATTCCCCGTTTTTTCGCGCAGCATTACATCACTTTCTCTCTACCGTGTTAGCGGTAACGAGAAAGTAAAAATAAATTATATATGTATAAAAAAACATTTGTATTAATTTAGTATGTATTTTATACACATTAATATTTGTGATAATTAAATTTGAAATAAGTAGGTGATGCTGAATCCACCAGACAATAAGATTGGAGAAAATTTTTGAGTGAAGGAAGGATACAATGGCCTGACAACTTCTGTCAACAAGCCGTGCACCTGCCGTCATGGATCATACATGGGCGGGAAACTCTTGTGCCAACAGAATTGGGTTTGAAAATAAACTACAAAGCAGTTTGAATATTGTCTTCGTTATCTAACAAATTCAATCAATATATCATTCATAAAAAATATTTCCATTTAATATAATATATATATATATATATATATATATATATTTTATTTAATTTGTTAATATTCATGTTTTAGTGTGTGACTGAATTAAAGGAATGATTTTAGCAAATTTTGAAAATTTAAAATAATAAGTGAATGTTTACAGAATGACTCAGAGTTTCTCTAATTAGATAGTTTTCTAATTTCTTTGGTCTGAGCTAGATTTTCGGTGTTGCCCCATTCTCTTGCCTGCTGCCATCTATCGCCGTCCAAATTATGTTTTCAATTTTTCGGTTTCCTAATGGTAGATCCGAAATATCACTTTAAGAATATTAAAGAAGTAAAATCTCGCGGATCTATATATAATATAAAATGTATATAGAAATATTCGTTGAAAAGTTTGGTACCGTTTTTAAAAGAAAATCGTTTAAGCGTTACTGTAAAGGCGAAATTTGAAGCTCTTTTTCACATAAAACTTTTGAGTTTTCGATAACGATTGTTGGAAATCATTTGAAGTACTTTCACTTACAAATGCAATAATGTGTACAAATCGATGGAAATGTTCATATTAATGGTGTGAAAGATTTTTTAACGTATTGGTGTAATTTTTGAAACCGCAGAAATAAAGCAAAATGACTTTTAAGTTATCTTATAGAATTCATTGATCACTATCCGTATAAAAAATTTAAAGAAATTAATTGGCGTTTGAGCATTTCTGAAAATGCGAAATTTTGAACTCATTTTCACAGAAAAACTTTTGAGTGTTCGAGAAACTTTATAAGATCTCGTTTGAAGCGCATGTACTCGTAACTGTAATTATGTATACAAATTCCCGGTAATTTAAATATTAACGACGTGAAATATTAACGGGAGATTTACAAAAGTTACATTTGTGTAATATTTGAAAGACAAAAGAAAAATGTCGTTTATGTTATCTTATACAGTGCATAACGGAAGAGAAGATAACCTTATGGAAAGCGAAGGCACTGCATGGAAGGTACCCTCACGAGCTGAGTAAACCAGAAGTCGACATCTCTGTGTCGCACGCATGGCTCCAGCACGGGGATCTCTTTCCGGAGACAGAAACCTTCTTGACAGCAATCCAGGACCAAGAGGTACCATCTTTGAACTACAGAAAACACATTCTAAGAGATTCTACCATTCATTCCGACTCGTGTAGAAGACGTGAGGCTGCAAGCGAAACTATCCAACACGTGACAAGTGGATGTAGGAGCCACGCACAGTTGGAATACAAAAAGAGGCATGATGAAGTGGCAAAGCAGGTCCACCAATTATTAGCATTGAGAACGGGCTTACTCATTGAGAATGGACATTGACTACGGGCACTTCCGTGCCGTATTGTAAATATGTGCCTCAGAATGTGCTTGAAAGTAGTGAGCACACTCTACTGGGATCGCTCTATTATCACTAACAGACAAGTCGGCGGCAATAGACCCGATATAACGTACATTGATAGAAACCATCAGCAGGTTTTCCTTATCGATATATCAATACCCAATACCTACAAAATATCGGGAAAATATCAAGAGAAGATCCAGAAGTATACCGATCTTGCCCATGAAGTCGCAACCCAGTGGAATTTCAGTAAAGTGACAACTGTGCCTATAATAATATCAGCTACAGGAGTGATCCCGAAAATGACACTTCGGGCACTGGAGTGACTTCACTTGGATGCCAGGAATGTATATGATATGCAAAAGTCTGTAATTTTGAATACATGCCGTATTGTCAGAAGCCATCTGAACCTTCAGTAAAACCACCACACACCTGGTCATCATTCATGTGTGTGGTTGACATACCGACCAGTAGATACTGTAAATAATGTATAATAATAATAATAATAATAATAATAATAATAATAATAATAATAATAATAATTAAAGAAAACGAATGTGGGCAGAAGTATTTCGATAGAGATCAACACAATATTAAAGGGAAAAAGCATGTCAGGGTTTCTACAGTCCATCAAGTTCCTGCGGACTGCGGAACGCCCAGAAATGGGGCCTGAGCGCAGTGGGCCCTCTTGCAAAGCCAGACCAGCTGCAGCGATCGCCACGCTTGGCGATTTCGCACGCGCCGGCGGTGGCCTTGCCGCGGCGCGGGTGGAGTGGCGTGGCTTGCCGTTGAAGTGCTTTGGTGCGGCTCGGCTACCGGCGCGGCGCAGCGCGGCGGCGCGAGCGCGCGCGCGCGCGCGCGGGCAGGCGGGCGGACAGGCGTACGAGCGAGCAGACGACGGGCCGGAGTAGTCGCCGCAGCCGCCGCGCCCGCTTCTCCTCGCCCCGCCCCACCCCGCGCCCTGACGGCGTGGGTGCTCTCCCAGCGCAGCGCCCGCGCGCCTGCCCGTGCACGGACAGCCTGCTGGACGCCTGCCGCCGCCGCTGCGCGTGTTTCAGCACGCGAATTCCACGCGAGTGTCGTCCGCGCGCGCTGCAGCCATGGAGGAAGAAGGCGCGTCCTGTTCGCGCGACTCGGCGGCTGACACGGTGCCGCCGACGCCGCCGCCGACGACGACGCTGCTGTCGCCGCTGCCGCCGCCGCCGCCGCCGCCGGCGGAGGCAGCCGGATCGACCCCCGCTGCCAGCCAGCGACGGGACCCAGTGATCGTGTCCACGGAAACTGTCACTCACGTGCTCACCTACGGTAAGTAAGCGACGACGGTTGGACCCCGCGCAACGCAGCGAACCCAGCCAAGACGCCATTTCCAGTACATCATTCGTGTACCTACCGTACCTTCCGTCGCAGCTGTCATTAGCAAAATAATCGTTTGTGTGATTGTCATTCCATGACATGACTGTAAATGACTGGTAATCACGGGCAAGAGTACAAATTGTGCCTCTGGGGTGTCCCGGAAGACGTTTAATGTGATCTAATTAGAACGGCTACGAATAGGGGAATAATGGAGTAGTTACGTAGCTTGGGCGGTTTAGGACAATACTTGTAAGTGAAGCCCAGTGTCATGCCAGAATTTTCTTACATTAAAAAAAGAACTAACTGACCGTGCCTGCTTTGACACTTGTCAATGAAGGATCAGCTGACTACCTACAAAGAAGGCAATATGAAAATTGCCACATCAGCATTTGGCGTTTAGTTTTAATAAGTGACTTGCGTATACAAGCGAATGACTTCTTTGAAACTAATTTGTGCGGTGCTGAGTTTTTCAGCCGGGATGGGATGCACGAGCTGTGTTAAACGCTCTCCTTATGGTCATGTTGGTAGTGCGCAGGCGCGGCTCTCGTGCAAGGTCGCGTGCCTTTCTTGACCGCTTGTTTGTCGCCTGCAACTTTCCATTTCCATTTATTTAATAAAATATCCTTATGGTTTCGAGGTAATCAGGGTGCAGAGGAGGAAATTAAAATGATCATTCCAGGAACAGCGTCAAATAATATTTTTTTCTCGTGTACTCCTTTCAAACTGTCCTTAAATGAATTGGTTGATTAAGAAGTCCCGGAAATGACGAAAAGACATTTTTGTAATAACAGTGACTATTATTCGAATAACCAATTGTTAGTTCAATAAATACGCTGAATTACCTGAAGTACATACGGATATGTTCTGACCCAAAATAGTAGCGTTTTCTTCCTTTTCTTCCAAGTGTCTTGTAAACATTGACTAGAAAGCAATGAAAGCATGATTATTGTTTGGAAAATAAAATCAAATTAAATTAAAAAAAACCAACAACAAACAAACAAATGAAACTTCCCTTTTATTGATTTCGATTATTTTAAATTATGAAAATATGATTTCCAATATTGCAATAGTGCTACATTGTTTTTAAGTGGGTTTTTTTTCGTAAACTTTCGATGTAGTGATTTATTCCTAACAAGAATATCTTCTTAGGCTTGTTAACAATTCGTTGATTATTTTTGCGTTAGCAAGTGCGTTAGCTGTATTAAAGCAATGCGTTAATGCAGTTTTTGCGTTAATGCATTAAAACCAATGTTTTATCTTTTTTCTTTCAACACTCAGAGAAATATATATTTGTCTATTTGCATACGCTCCCAAGTGTAAATACGATTATATACGTTTTCCAATTGTAAATAAATATATGTAGGCTGTACTTATTTATTAATGTATTATAAGATTAGATAAAGTTTATCGTTAACTTCAATGTAAGTCAGTCTAGCAAAAGAGCATACTTCCTGAGCAATTCTCGGCCCTGCTTTACACATCGTTCAATTTGCTTTTGCTGCGTGGCAGCTGAGGCGGATGCAGGGGAAAGTCCGTGTGGGAGTTCGTCTCTCCCTCCTCCTCGTGCTGCCAGGACAAACATATGAATAAAAAACCTCTGAATTGGCCAATATTATTCTATTGTTGTGCCCAACGACTGAGTTATTTGAAGTGTAGGACAGTACGTAAATGATGTGTATGTGTTTACAATTATATAATTAACATCATGTATTTACTTCTTTCATGTCAACTGTTAACACGCATGTTGCTTAATTTGCTAAAAACCCCATGGATTCGGTACGGTTCTTTGACCTCTTTGCTTCCGTTTCTGCGCGGTTAAGAAAAATTCTCCACCTGGTGTATGAGCGGAACTTCGGATGACTAACCCGCTTTGTTTGCTCTCTATCATTTCCCCCTCAAGATCGGCGCTGTGCAAACTGACTCAGCGCACTGAAACTGCGCTTTCACTTTCCAGGTCAAAAATCTCATCATAATCCAAGAATTTTGTAACTTTGGTAACGAGAAGAACGTTTCATAGTTGTGAACATTTTTCAGTACAAAATACAGATTTTTTCAAACTAGCGGTGCTTCAACAGCAATACTTTCTCCCTATTTGTGACGGCTACGCAATATTAAAACACTTAATGAACCAGCAAACGAGTTTCCAACCTACAAATATTTTTCTCAGCTCTGGGAATCAAAGTAATGACCTTGAGTTAACACGCCATTCACGTTATCCTTACACCACCAGCCCAACAGATGCGCCCAACCTTCTCGACTAAAAAAATTGACAATTGCATTTGCAATTTTCAAAGAGTCGGAGATATTCATTTACATTATTTTAAAATAATAGATTTCATTAAGGAACAAAATAGTTTTACTGTGTAATATTTTGTTTCCAATATTCTAATTATGAAACATCGCCGAAAGTGTGACCTGGACTATTATTTAAGCATCGTTTGCTCTATTCGAGGGAAAAAATGTAAAGAAAAAATTGGAGACATTTTGGAGATTTAAAAAATAAATTGCCTTTATTGTACGCATAAAAATATATGAAAAATACTACATAACCTTTTAAATAAAATATAGGTACCCCTATTTACAGAACTAATTTTCGGAAAATTTTAAATAGGAAAAAATCTCAATCACCAATATTATACTTTTGCATTGTTAATTTTTTACAATTTTCTAAAATTCAAAGAGTAATTGAAAATGGGATATGCGCCACTTTTGAAGAGCTAAAGCAGTATCCGAAGAAAAAATGTAAAGAAAATTGTTGAATCCGATTTTGAGAAAATAATTGTTTAAAAATTGCCTATATTTCATGAAAATTACACGGAAACTACTCTATTTTCGAAAAATTGTATATGAGTTTATTTAAATATCGGTCTTTAATTACAGATTTTATTAAGCATAAATCTTTATCTGGTTTTAGGAAGATGCCAATAAAACTATGGCAAATTTTGTAAAATCAGGATTTTCAACAAAAATGTGAGACGCCCCATTTTGTAAAGAGTCAAAGGATAAAGTTTAATCAAAATGGAGTTTTGGAGCCATTTATGAGAAAATTTTGAAAATGTTGGGGCTCAACATTTTCAAAATCTTCATATATTCAAACCCATGTTCGTCGAAATCAGCGGAGAAAAGAATCATCTGAACAGATTAGTCGCTAGCGATGTGACACGCTTTGGACTCAATTGATATTTCTGGTATCGAGGACCAACAAAACGTGGATTCTTACTACATAATGTGTTGAATGAAGAAATTTATTACATATATGAACAAAATTTATTCACTTTTTCAATACCAAGGCCCCAAAATCGAAATTTTCTGTTGAAAAATCGCCTATTTCTCTTTACTAAATGCGAAGTAAATATGTGAATATCTTTTAAATAGAGATATTTTCAAAGTACGTTTTTTAGCGATCTTAAAATAATGTAAAAATATACTCTTTCCTGCATGTTTCTGTATTGTTTCAGATGTATGTATACGTATTTTTAAATATAAAGTAAAAGTAATGAAATTAATTAATGGTGAACATGGAAATCTTCAGGTCATTTAGGGACATGTTTACAACTGAATCTATGATGACAGTGATAATGATAATGATGATGACGATGATGGTGGTGGTATTAATTATGATAATGAAGGTATATGAAAAATATTTCATTTAATTTGTAGGTAATTTAAATTCATATCATGGTTCTGAAATCTGCTTTTCACCTGTACCTGACAGCTCAGAGCTCAAAGGTAGTTCGGAGATATAGCAAAAAAAAAAAAAAATAAAAAATAAAAAAAATTATAGATTAGTAAAGGTATAATTGGTTTCACAATATTTAATTTGCAGTAGTGTGTTATCAGTTTCGGGTAGTCTTTGTATATTAAACACTGTTTGTTTGGACCGTCTCTCTCTCTCTCTCTCTCTTTCTCTTTCTCTCTATATATATATATATATATATATAATATATATGTGTATAATTATATGTGTAATATATATGTGTATATATATGTGTATATATCTGTGTATATATATGTGTATATATATGTGTATATATATGTTATATATATGTGTATAATATATGTGTATTATATGGTATGTATATATATGTGTATGTATATATATGTGTATGTATATATGTTGTTGTATGTTATATGTAATTATGTGTGGTAAAGTATATATGTTGTATATATATTGTGTGTATATATATATGTGTGTATATATATATGTTAAAATGGTGATATATATATGTGGTATATATATGTATATTATATATGTGTATGTGTATATTGTATATATATATATATATGTATATATATAGTATATATATATGTTATATATATATGTGTATGTGTATAGTGTGCTATATATTAATATATATTAATATATAGTGTGTATTATTTATATTTGTGATATATTATATATATATGAAGGGATGAGGGGAGAGGGGGAGAGATTTTTCGTTGCGATCTCAATGTCCAGTGTAGGGCGACTGTGTCACTCGCAATAATTGCGCACAATGGTCAATGGTAATATTTGGAAATTTGCCTAATTTCTTCTTTTCCTCTAAAAGAACCACACTGGCTAGGCATTAGGGACTGCGTTGCACATTTTCTGAAGGACTCCCTGGAAATCTAATATCTTATCTTTTGAATCCCCCCCCAATAGTTTGTACGGCATGTCGGCATGTCTCTCGGTGTCATCTGGAATCACGGGGTTCAAGAAGTGAACACTGTTCGTGTTAACATACAATCTTTGATCGGTCTATCAATTTGCTTCTAAAAAGCAGCCATGAGCGTTTGGTAAGAAGCAAACCTTCAAGATGCATTGATTGTACGAGTACTTTCACAACACTGCTTAAACGCTCTGTTAATGTTTCGACTTTATTCCGTAACGGAATAAAGAAAACGGCGAAGGTGGCGCTCTATGGGGACGTCGACACTGGAATCGTGACATACGACTGAACTCATGAAAA